TCTTCCAAGAGAATAACATCACTCTTTTGGACCATCCTGCATGTTCCCCGGATCTAAACCCAACTGAGAACCTTTGGGGATGGATGGCAAGGGAAGTTTACAAAAAYGGACATCAGTTCCAGACAGTGGATGCCCTTCATGAAGCCATCTTCAACACTTGGRGCAACGTTCCCACTAGCCTCCTAAAAACACTGGCATCAAGCATGCCTAAATGATTGTTTGAAGTCATCAACAAGAATGGTGGAGTTACTCATTACTGAGTCTTTTTTTTTGACACTTTGATTTCTGTTTTGGGGAGTTTTCGGGGTTTTTTGAGCTATGGTCTTAAACTTTTGATCAGCTGAAAAAAATCATGTTTGAGTGTCAATGCAGTTTTCAGACAATTCCCTGCTCAAAAGTTCTTGTCTCTTGCACTGATTTCTTCTTTTAACATTGTGAAGCTCTACTTAGATCCTTCTTAAGATCCAGTAGTGCAAAATGCAAATTCTTGCACTTTTTTGACTGGTCTTAAGATTTTGATCAGGAGTGTTTTTCTCAGCAGTGCAATCAGGTGTAACAGTTTCATCCTCTGGTTTCTGCAGACATTAAGAAGAAAACAGAGAAAGAAACCACACAGGACAGCAGATGGCAGTGTATGACTGAGGCTGCACAGCAGATGTTGAACTCTTACAAAAATCTCAAAACAATTTTACAGTCCAAAGAACGAACTGGACAATGACTTGTGGCTACCAATAATCAGACTGCACTCTGACCCCATAATGAAATAGAAAACACAAAGTTTTCATAGGTGCCTACCAGGTCACTTTCTTTAAGACATTTTATAAGTTCAGTTCCATTCTAATTTGACACGAATGTAAAACTAAACGCTTGAAAGCTATTGCTCAAATCTTGGTATGTTTCTGTGGAACAGTCATAAACAATATCTTACCTGTGGCAGATATCAAACATTGGATTGGAGAGTTTATTTCTGACCCGACTGATGAGCTGACAGCTAAAAAGTTGAAAACATTCATCATCACTTGGCAGAAAGGTATTACAATACTGTTGCCAAAAGTGAGTCAGAGTGCTTAGAAAGTGCTACAGTCAGTGAGGTATATGCTTCACAAGATTGACCACTGTGGTATGAGCACAACGCCATTTTGGAAGGGGCGGGCTGTCAATGTAAACAATTGATCACAGCTAGATTTCTGCGTGGAATTTCAAATAAGTACAAGTTTTTTTGTTGGTTAGCTTCTGCCTATTAGCAACATAGTTCTTTGCAGACGTGTGTACCTTGGTATCATGTTTTTGCCTGGTATGATATTATGTACTGACAAGCATTTCTATCAAATCAAAATACTGGTCATGATTATCACCTTCAGCTTTACCACCTAACAGTGTTGTCCTCGCCCCTAACAATATGGCCGCTCTCACCAACCATGAAGTCACGTGATAGCACCTCTAGTCAATACAACTCATTGGCTACAGCTACCTGCTGCTGCTTCTACTTGAACTATCAAAAAAAGGGCAGAAATATTGTGTAAATGACTGATGCAAAACTAACGCCAACGTTAATATTTCAAGAAATGTTTGAAAAGTTTTGAAACTGGAGCAGTTTTAGGAAGCAGAGATCCACTTTAGTTTTGACTTCATGTGATTTAGTTATCAGCGAATCAGTCTGAGTTTACCTTTGTTTCTCCATTGTTTCTCCAAACTGAGGACATTCAAAGAACTACCTGCAACAGGTAAGATGTTAAGTGTTTGTAACCTCTCCACAGAATCCCTTTTCTCAACTGTCATTTTTCTTAACGTCAGGTAAGTGGGAAACAAGAAAGCACGCTGATTTCTTCTAAACCCCCAAACTGCACCAACTTTCTGATTTATTGTCCTTCTCATTTCTACCATATCAAATATAAAATATTAAAACTTTGAGTATTGCTGAAGCTAATTTTTCACCTAATTAAACCCCTTCTTGTCAGCTGGACTACTAAAAGTTCACCCAGGGATTCACACAGTCATTGTTGCACAAGGCTGCTGACGTACTGTATTATGGAGAAAGTCCACGTTTCGCTAATCTGGTACATTAGCCAGTAGCTGAAGGTGCTGCGGTAAAAAGTAGTCACTGTTTATCTCTCGGTCCACATTCCTCAGATGTTTTCAGTTTACTCAATAATGCTATGATGTTCTTAGAAACATCCCGCTCCACAGAAACGGTTTCAACACAAAATCAATGAACGGACCCATTAAAAACACCCAGAAACACTTTGTAATGTGTAATAAAGTTAAACTTTTATTGCAAACCAAACATGGTCACATAAACAATTTTACAATTTACAGTACATTAAACAGAAATTATTACATATACATGTTTTTTTTCTTTTTTTAGGCATTACTTTTAGTCGTTTTCTTCTTCAATATACATTAAAACTAGTACACGTAACTCCAAATATACAAGAAACTTAAATACCGTCAAGTTTGCGTTACAGCAATATTAAAGTGGAATGTTCAGTTATGACGTCGCCGAGTAACCCGGCGTCACATCGGTGGGAGGCGATCGGAAGACTACACAGGGGGGTGGGGCGCAGTTGGGCAAGCGGAACTGCGGTACTTCTCGACGCGTGCCTCTCGTCGTCGTCGCCCAGCAGCAAGTGCAACTCTTTCCATCTCTCAATCAGCTTTTAGTGTGCAAACGAAGATACGAAACATTTGAGTCCCTGCGTCTCATCACTTAGTGCTACATCCTCAAGTGTCTTGAAAAGATAAAAACACAACATTTAACTAATATAACTAATGCTAACAACTAACGTGATGAGCAATGATGGAGAGAAAGAAAATAAAAGAAGGCACCTCTGACAGTAATGATACACCGCCCCCCTTATCTGTAACATTCAGCTTCCCCCCTGGTCTCCCCTTTTTTTTTTCAAAACACAAAAGAAAACAAAAGCACCAACAAGTGATCTCCAAGCGTTCAGACTCAGCAGGTAGGTCCCTGTAGGTGGAAGATGTTTCGCTACGTGGATGAAAACGGGGATCTAGATGTGCTTGCGATGTCAGGAGGAAGGGTTAAAGCTGCCTGAGCCATATGTGCAAAAAGACCTCCACCGTTGGGAATTGGGGGGGATTTAAGACTGCCAACGGGGGATTTAGGTTGATGGCGACATTCCCAAACTGGCTGATATTTACAGTGGACGTTCTCTCTCAGCAAGTATATTAAATGTGTTCAAGAGTCTGAGAGAAAACGGGAACACGTGGAGGTGAAGAGCTCTTGCAGGGTTTGTGTGGAAAAACAAAACAAAACAAAAAAACGTATCATTCCAAGGAGAAATGATGTGTTTGGGAGGGGCGGGAGGTCAAGATGCAACGTCCACGGGCACGGCGCAGTCTATGTTCAGTGAGCAAAAAAAAAAAAAAAAAAAACTAGAGTCCTGGTTAAGAGCCTGTGTTTTGAGTCCTATAGGTAGGAGTCCATGGACGGGGCGTAGGAGAAGCCCACGAAGGCCTCGGCTGCGTCTTTGATGCTGGAGGTGACGAGGGCGCAGTCTGGGGAGCAGCCGATGGAGCTGGGAACCGGCTCGTCCGTGAACTCTGGATCAAAGTGCCGCAAGTCGTTCGGTCCCGTCTGCAAGCAGAACAAAAAAGGAGAAGGGAGACGAGGAGGGATTAGTCTGTACCTTGCCATAATTGGACATGCTCTGGGCTTTTGATCTGGTTACATAAATGGAAATGAGGGTCTTTAGAGTGTTGAAAAGGGGGACCTACCACATTCGGGTTAAAGGGAGGGGTCATTTTCTTGGCGTTGAGGTCGTCCCAGTTGATAGGAGAGAAGAATATGTGGTTTTTGATTTCAATCTGGGGAATTCATATATGCATACAAAATTAGAAAAATGATTTAACATTAGGTAACGCATATACAAAAAAAAAAAAAAAAAGAAACTGTTGACTTACAAAGTCCTCTGCGCAGCCCAGTCTCTTGGTTCTGTCCTTTTGTAGCAGTCCCTCCAGCAGGTGTCGCGCCGCATTGGAAATGTTGGGTTTGAGCTGCAGGGGTTTGTTCAGGATGTTGTCGTACATCTCCGCCGTGTTGCGGCTGTAGAACGGAGGCTGTCGAGGGACGAGGGAACCCGTTAAAAACAACGGCGAAACGCCAACGGCCTTTAAAAATTTCGAACATATTTTAAAAAAAACACGTTACATACCAGGCCATACAGCATCTCGTACAGAACCGCTCCTAAGCACCACCAGTCTACTGTCCTGTCATATGGCTGCTTGTGTAGCACCTCAGGAGCCAAATACTGTAAAGCAAAAAACAATATGTCACTTCAGGCTAGAGAGCAACAAAAACCAGTTTGGAGCAGCTAAATTTCCCCTCCTTACCTCTGGTGTGCCGCAGAAAGTCGACGTGGTCCCGTTAGGTTCGATGTTCTCCTTACACAGGCCAAAATCCGTGAGGATGATGTGGCCCTGGGAGTCCAGCAGGATGTTCTCTGGCTTCAAGTCTCTGTAGACGATGTTGAGGGAGTGCAGGTAACCCAGAGCGCTGGCGATCTCCGCGGCGTAAAACCTGGCTCTGGGTTCGAGGAAGCAGCGTTCCCTCTGCAAGTGGTAGAACAACTGGAATGCAGACAGAAAAAACACAAAAAGAAACCTGTTACTGAACCATCCGCTGAGGAGACTTTACAGCGTTGACAAGATAAAACGCAAATTATAAAAAGAAGAGGATGGGAGGAAGAACAAAAGACAGGAAGGCGACAGCTTCAAACGTTTCACAAGAGACAGATGAGGAGAGAAAAAAATAAAAGTGGAAAGAAAGAGATGAGCAGGATGGAAGAAAAGAGAGTAAATGTGCCCTGCTTCCTGATGAAGTCCATATTTAATTTAGTCTTTGCTCGTGCAACAATCACAGGAAATTAGCTCGATTAGAGACACACAGTCTCAACAGTGCTGCTAATTTTGGCAACAGGTTTCTCCTGCTGTCCCCAGCCCACCCCATGGCTTCCTGAACTGTGTTTCCTTTGTTTAAGAAAAAAAAAGAGAGTGACAACTTCTATTCTGCCTCTCATGCCAGGAATTCCCCTCTCTCTCTGTGTAGCTCACGCTAACGTTTAAATCATCTTCAGTTTCGTCTTCATTACATAGCTTGGCCTCATTGCTCTGTTACCACCTATCTCCTTTCCTTCCAGGCGACAGCAGCAAATAACTCACCTCTCCTCCGTTGATGTAGTCCAAGACGAAATAGAGTTTGTCTGCCGTCTGGAAGGAGTAGTGCAGCCCCACCAAAAACGGGTGCTTGACATTCTTTAGGAGCACATTCCTCTCTGACATGATGTGTTTCTCCTGTGACAACAAAGAGCGACGAAAGGTCAGGGAAGTCGGCTCAAACGCGACTCGTGACATATTTGCGCTGTCGCGGGGTTTCTCGTCTGCCGGCGTTGTTTCGCCTTACCTCCTTCTTCTTGAGAATGGCCTTCTTCTGCAGCACTTTGACGGCGTAGAACTGGTCGTCCGTGCGGTGGCGTGCCAGGAGCACCTTGCCGAAGCTGCCCTTGCCGATCACTTTCAGGAAGTGGAAGTCGCTGGGTTTGGCGGAGGGATTGGACGACGGGCCGAGGTTGATCTGCTGGGACGGACTGGGCTGAGAGGAGAGCAGGAAAAAGTTAGTAAGAAAAAATTAAAAAGATGCACAAATATGAGCAAAGGGAGAAATAATCCGTTATGCGTACAGGAGGGGAAGGGTTTGCATTCATGAGCTCAGCGTCCTGCGGAGGATTCAGGTTCAGAATGGACTGAACTTCGGGACTGCAAGGAGAGAAAAAAACAGTGTAAGATATTGCAAACTGTTCTCTTGTTTTGCAACATGAATCAGCTGATGTGGTCACAAAATGTCCTCAGAAGACAAATCACTTGCGTTCCAGCTAAAGTTTCTCAATGTTTTGTCCTCCTGAGGAGGCAGAACAATAGCGTGAGTCAGAGGGTACTCACTGCTTGCAGGCGTAGGAGTTTGTGGCGAGCCTCTGAATGAAGTCGTTCAGACCCATCCTCCTTTGTTTCATAAAAGCTGCAAAACACAAACAAGCAAAAAAAGGGAAAAATAAATTAAAATGCCGACAATGGAGAGGAGATTGGATTAAATCCTTTCGATAAATTACAAAAAATATATATAAATACCAGTGACTAACTCCACTAGGCCTTTAGCCTTTGAGTAAGTCAGCTCAGGCTTTTCTGTTTCTGTTTTGATCGTCATGATGAACAGCAGCTCGTCTGCTCTCATCGGCTGTTAAAATCCAAACTCTAACTTTACTCTCACAGATCCCAGTTTATAAAGACCGAGGAGGGTTGGAACTACCCCCCCTCCACACACACACACTCCACCCCCGCCTTCCAGTGGGCGGGGGGGACTCTGCAAACCTATGAGGTGATCGACCTCCTCTCAACCAATGGGCGTGCTTTGCGCCCCCGGAGCGTCACAGCCGCACCTCGGTGCTGCCTGCGTCAGAGAGCGAAAACAGGCGGCAGGAACTTTCTGTCACTCGCCGCAATGATTTACATAATGTTTGTTTGTGCAGATCCACGGCCAGTTCGCTGCAGATCGTGGCGGTTGGGCCACACAAGTCAGGGAATGCGAAGCCAACTTGTTTATTTCTTAAGTTTCATAAGCACACATAATGTACTGTACACACACATATATATGCATCTACGTCAGCCAACAAAAAGTGATCTGATACCCTCCTTACTAAGCATATCAACTTTACTGCCTGGCTGCATCTCTATAAGAGCCGGTGGAGTGATTGAGGCTTCCACACGGCCCTTTACTCCAAACACACACACACACAAAAAGGAGGAGGGCGAGCCCGAGCAGACAGAGGCAGCCTGCCAAATAAAAGCAGCTGGTAGTGGAAAAGTACAGAGTGAGCAACTCCTGAACACGTCCAAGTCTTTAACCTGCAGAACCTCACAATTAACCAAAGAAGCCCTTTAAAGGCGTATTCCAACCCTTTAGAATGGGGTTCTGAGGAAGCGTTACGAAGAATTAAAATCCTAAGTTGTTGCAGATGTCCTTTTAAGAAGCTCAGTTTAAAATGATAGCTTTTGCTCGACAACAGTGACAGGGATGCAGCAAAGAACAAATTGGATTGTCATCTTAAAACAGCATCAATCAGAAACAAATCAATAAAAAAAATTGTAAAGGTTCATGATAAAATTACTATTCAAACCTTTACATTGCTGACACTGTTGAACTGCGGTTATTTTTAGCAGAAATATTATGACGCACCTGCTGGATTTGTCCCCAAGCTAAACTGTAAAGGCCACAGCGAGCTACTGCTAACTTCTGCTGCAAACTAGCTGCAGCGCAAGTTAGCAATCGCTGTTTGCACTTGCAAACAACCACTGTACTCTACTTTAACAACTGCGTAATACGACATTGACGGCAATGTAAAAATATTTATTAAATGTTCATATGCTATTACTTTTTATTTTAACATTTTTATGGCTTGGCGGCACTAGCTGTTGGGCAATTAAGCCACTTATCATCTATATAAAAAGAACTAGCTACAACAGGTAAGATATTTATTCTTTATAACCTTTCCACTGAACCGTAATTCACGACAGTGATATCCATTTAATAAGGTCATAGGCATAATTTGCAGGGGGGTTATGACTCCCACAATAATTTGATCCATTTGCTCAAACAATAGAAACTAAATGCCAAATACACCGATGAAACTCTCTTGTTGTTTTTAGGTAACTTTGACCTGATTTAGAAATGTAGAATGTCATAGTTTAAGCATAAATGCTGAAAATGACATGCAGGGTTTTAGGGAATAACCCCTTGATTAAGGTGCTATTAAGAATGTCATTAAAAACTTTTAAAAAAAAATCAGTTTGGACATAATCAGATCAGTCAGTCTGAGTTATATAAAGCACCTGGTTCAAGTTTAACCTGCACCCCCTTGTGGAATGAAAGTAAGATGATATGACCTGTGGTGGAGGCTAAATTCATGGATCACTGCGAGAGGGACAGAGAGAAATAAAGTTAAGCTGGACTTTGTTCACAGGAAGGAAAAAAACCGTCCGACACTGCAATTTACGAAGCATTTAAACGCAACATTACGCAAGCAACGTCACCAGCCTAAAAAAAAAAAAGGCGATTCTTTTTTTTTTTTCCTTCTTTTTTGGTCTGCAGCTTCAAAGTTTCCGGAACTACCGGTGTCAGTAAAGAATGAATGGATAACTGTCTAATAAATCACAATTATAAGGGGAGGAAAGGTCCCGGTTTTATTTCTGCTCCCCCCCTCCAACCACAAAGAGAAGTTTCAACTGTTAGACAAGAAAGTGAAAACTGTCAAAAAGACAGTAGTTTATCAGCAGTAAGTTTTTATTTTACTTACACGTCAAAGTAGCCGTTTTTTCTTTCATGCGGATGCTTCAGAGCACCAGTCAGGGCAGGCAGAGAGGCTGCGGGCTCCTCGACAGAGCAGGTAATCCAACTAAACACAGCATTCTTCCTCCTTGGACTTGGAGAGTCTCCCTACATTTTTTTTCTTTCCCTTTTTTTCTTTTTTTTTCCCCCTTCAGGGCGGAGACGTCCCGCCTCTATTTCCTTTCCTCTTGGCTGGGTTTTGAGTTTCACGGATGGCGGTGGTTTGGTCACGAGGTGGTGCCTTCAAGTGTAACTCTGTTAGCTCAGCTGTGAGCTCAGATTTTTTCTCCCAGTCAAGGAGCTCAAAACTACGGAAGAGGATAATGGCCACAGAGAGGGGAAAAAAAGTAATTCTGACTTTAATCTTAAGAATTCTAAAACAAAAAGTCAAAACTCTGACTTTGATTTGACTTTTCTTAAAATAATCCCCCTCATGAAATCACTTCCCATTACATTGTAGCTTGGTCAAATTCAAAAGAAAATATGCCAGTTATGTACACAAAACGTGTAAAATCATGTGTATTATCCCAATTTTCTAAAATATAAAGATGTCTGTGATTTTGATACATACTGCTAACTTTCGCTGCAGCTAGCAGAATTACACATGCTGATTATTATATTATTATTACCAGAGTCAGGTTTTGTTGCCTTATTGCCTACTTATGTAGTTACAAATACTACTAGAGATGGGCGATACTGGGAAGTTTTGTATCGATCCGGTACCAAGTAAATACAGGGCCAGTATCGCCGATATCGATACCGATACCGATACCGATACGTTTTAAGCTTCATAGTTTGAAAAGATCCAAAAGATCTAGGACAGGGGTGCCCAAACATTTTCCCTGAGAGGGCCAAAATTAAAAAACATTTTTCTGAGAGGGTCAAAATTAAAATCAGTCTGAGGGCCATGGGCCAAAAGCAATAATATAAGAAATGCTTAATACTTAAGTAAAGTTGTTTTATTTTTTTATGATTAAGCTAACAGCCAGTGTGGTTGCCCACATTCTTTTGTTTTTTGTTTTTCAGCCCAAGGACGTGGAGAAAATTCAACGTATCCTCAGGCAGCAAAGGCTCAGGTGACTTTTCATAATTTAAAATTTGAGTACATGTGGTCTTATAAGGTGTGCAAATTTATATATGGGTTTAAATTTAATCTAAATGTCTCTTGTAGTTACTTGTATTTTATATTTAATCTTAACGTAATTACAATCTAATAACCTGGACAACTGCTGGTGGGGCAAATCAAATGGCTCGGCGGGCCAATTTTGGCCCGCGGGCCCCACTTTTGGCACCTCTGATCTAGGATATAATTTTGCCAAACATTGTATGTGACAACAAAACACTTCATTATAACAATCAACATTTTTCGGTGAGAACGCTGAGTGGGTGGGCCAGCCAGCCTACATGCTTAGTTAGCTTAGCTGTTTGGCTAGCGCTGCTGAGCCACGTGACGGTGCAACAACAAAAGACTGGGCGGGGGGGCTTCTTCACAGTGCAGCACTACAGACAGAGAGTAGACTTTGAAAAATCCACGTGTGCAGCAATCAGTGTGTACTGGAAAGAACAATGCTTGAGTATCGATCTTTTTGCACGAGTATTGTTCAATATCAATACCAGTGTTGGTATCGATATTGATATTTAGTATCGATCCGCCCACCTCTAACAAATACTAGGAGAGCCTAAGTCTTCCAGGACACATCCGTAAAGATAACGTTTCCATGAAAACGGCATTGCAAGTTCAACAAGCTCAAAAAGCAGATTCATACCTAGCTTAGATATTTATAAGAAATCTTATTTACGATTTTAACATGAATCAGTTTAGAGCAAATACATCGGGTCTTTAAAATGGTTGTAAATTTACCAGTTTGTCCAATTCCAATGGTGTTTCCATAGAAAACTCAGCATTTTTCCCAACAAATGTGTAAGCTCGTCTCGTTTCGCACATGCACATTTGTAACAATTTTAAACTATTAAATGGTCGTTTGTTTACATTCAGACATAACCAGGTTGAAAGCAAAAAGGTAAAGTTCTTCTGTTCGGTGGTGGAGAGCATTAAAGTAAAAATTGAAGCTAAAATCGTATGGAAATAAGCTGTGCTGATGTATTCTGAACTCTAACAGGAGAATTACTGTAACCAGTTGCAGTGTTTAGTTGTAAACAAATATGAGGACTATTTTCTAATGCAATTATTTGGAAAACCTGATGTGTTTGACTTACATCAACCCCCAAAGTATCATTTGATGTAAAAACTGTGTTAGAAGCATAAAACCTCAAACTATTATGGCTTTATTGAAACTTTCAAACACTAACCATAGACTTACCATCTGTCATTTATAATGGACGAACATTTTAGTCCGCCTGATTCAAGATGGCTGCCACAGGCAACTCAAAACATCTTTGTCTCAAAACTTTGGAAATAACTTCTGGAGCCAACTGTGTTTGTCTGTTATCAAACATAACAAACCAGAGAATGGGCTTTAATAAAACTCTCTGACAGTAATTACTCTCAGTCAACAGGTTCATTTTTGGATTCAGCCTGATTCAAGATGGCGGCCATAGAAAGCACAAAAATGGTTGTTACTCAGTCATTTTAACCGATACCGAGCTAAAATTGGATGTGGCGGCAGCAAAATAAT